TAGTAAGAATTTTCAGACTCTGCTCTAAGCAAAATCTCCTTTTTATCCTGCAGACATGATTACCTCCTGTATCGCTGCCATTTTAAAGCTGTTGATTTATTTAAAATGTGATTTAGGTTTTTAATCCACTAGGATAATATTTTTTTTCTTTGTGGTATGAAATAGGAATCTATGTTCTTTCCTGCATGAATAGCATGAAGACCCAGTGCCGTGTCCCCATGTCCTCTGTAAATTGACTGCAATATACCTCCAATCATATAGTCTACTGTATGAGGGCCTACTGGAGCCTCTTGATTTTATTCCATCGTCATATCTTTCTATCATTAGGCCAACATCTTCTAACTTTTGTTGTGAACGCTTTATTTTAATATCTCATGCTACAAATCTTCTCTCCTTAGTCTTCTCTTGCAAAGTTTGTTTTAAAACACACACACACCCACATGAGTGCTGCAGAAAAGCCTGTCTAAAATCCTATTACATTTTCCATCAGCTTTTCTTTCCTTTTTTCCATGGATGTTTTGAAGCCTCCTTATATATGCAGGTAGGTATATATGTTATTTTCCTGAATCATTAGCATACTTTATGAATTTTAGAACCAGCCTAACAAGTTTCATAAAATGCATCTTAATTAAACTAGATTTTGCTTTGTCGTTTTGGTGGTTTGTGTTGATAGACTTCCCACTACCCTGGAGTTGTTTCAGACTCCATAGGAGACCCCCTAACACACAGTAGACCCACTCCATGGGGTCTCTGTGGTGGTCAGTGTTTACCGGAGCAGAGAGCCTCATCTTCCTCTGGTACAGGGACTGCTTGGTTTGAACACTGCTGACAGCATGGCGAGTGGCCCCCAGTGTGGCTATGACCACGGGCCACCTTCTGAGAGATAATATCGATAAATAAAGATAAGCTACAGAAAGAAGTGCCTTTTTTTTTAACCACCAATACGCTTTACCATTTTCTCCATTTAGGTCTTGCTCTTCTTTTGCAAGATGTATTCTAAAGTGCCTTTGAATAAACTTATGAAAGTAAGTTTGAACCAGGGTCTGCCCACCTTCCCTTATTATTACATGTGTCTTCTGGGCTGATGATGATGCCTGAAAAATACATTGGCTCACAGAACTTCGGGCTCCCTTATTTTGATGAATGGCATGAGCTTACCCAGACCAGCAACCCCGCTGACTGTTATGCATGGATATTTTAAAAATATGAAAATTTTCTAGTATTTATACAGTAGTTTTGCTATTGTATAAAAATATCATTGCAATTTTGTATAGTGCATTTATCTTATAGTCATTGAGACTCTTGGACATGGTTATTAGTTGATTTTGTTTTTGAGATTTTCTTGGATATTCTATGTATGAAATAAAATATTCTGTAAATAAAAGCCATTGATTTCTTGTTTTCTGATTTTAAAAAAATCATTTTATTGAGGGCTCTTACAGCTCATATCCCAATCCATCCATCCATCCATTGTGTCAAGCACATTTGTGCATATGTTGCCATCATCATTCTTAAAACATTTTCTTTCTACTTGAAACCTTGATATCAGCTCATTTCTCCCCTCCCACAACCTTCCCGCCTTTTCCCCCTGATTTTTATGCCTCTTGTTTCTTTTTTCAAGAAGTTGTAATGACACAGAGTAAGTGCTATTATTTGATGTCAATAAAGGAAAAGTATCAGGGCTTAAACTGTGAACACCAATTTGCAGAAAGCTATGGAGGACAGTGGGAGCCAAAAATCCATCTGCAGAGCATCTAGTCAGATTGAGCCTCTGGCAGATCCCTCTGGTCACAGGCAAGGGACTCAAACAGCTTTACTATCAGACAGACATTATTGTAAACTTGATTGTGGTGGATCGAACCATGCTATAATATGATACTTGATTAGTTAACCTCCCTCTTGACCCAACCTGAATTTGCTCTAGGCTTAAATATTTCTCACTTGTTCCACGAGAGACATTTCTCTTTTGGTTTGAAAAATATTGGTGGTCTTTGCTTTCTTATTCTTTATTTTTAATATTTATATTATTATTATTTTCTTCTCTTTGTTTTTTATTGTTTCTGTTGGGTTTCCCAGTTTATGAAGCATAGAAGGAGTGGATGCATAGAGACAATAACCAATGCAGTGGTTTATTGGGGTCTGGATGGGGGTGTGGGGAGGGTGAGGGGATTTGGGAAGCAAACAGTGAATGTAGGAGTGTGGAGGGAGCATTCGAACTGATTGTGATGCTGTGTATAAAACTCCTTTAAAAGGCGATTTAACATTCTGAATGAGGGGGAGTGTGGAGTGGAGACCCAAAGCCCATCTGTAGGCCACTGGGCATCACCCCACAGAAGGGTCGCAGGGAGGAGACGAGTCAGTCAGGGTGCAG